ATATATATATATATATATTATATAAACTTTTTGACTTGCAAAACCACTGTGAATCAGATTCTTCTGTCTCTATATTACCAGGTAAGAAACTGAGTCTTCCACTATTGTCATGTATGTAAGAAATCAATAAAAATTAAAAAAATAAGTAAATATTTAAAAAAAGAAACTGAATCCTAAGGTCTAAGTACCTGCCAAAGTCACTGAGGTMCAAAGTGGCAGAGGGAGGAGTTAACACAGGAAATCTGATGTCCTTTTTAAATTTTTTTAGTTGTAGATGAACACAATATCTCTATTTTTATAAAAATTTTTTAGTTGYAGATGGACAAAATACCTTTATTTTGCTTATTTATTTTTATGTGGTGCTAAGGATCAAACCCAGGGCCTCACGCTTGTGAGGCAAGTATTCTACCACTTATATCTGCACAACCCCAACCCTTTCTAGTTTTTCTTATGTGGTGCTGGGGATCAAACTCAGTGCCTTATGCATGCCAGGTAAGTGCTCTACCACTGAGCCACAACCCCAGCTCTCTGATGTCCTTCTTTAAAAAGCCCTTAGAATGTATTCTACATTACACAGTTTTATAAAAGAAGCAAAGAGGTACTGTTGCCTTCGCATTATTTATTACAGTACCCCTACACACAACACAAATAGAGCTTCTTAGGTTTTTTTTTTGTTTTTTTTTTTTTGGTATTGGGAATTGAACCCAGGGGAGCTTTACCACTGAGCTCCATCCCATCCATTCTATTTTTTATTTTTGAGATGGTCTCACTAAATTGCTGAGTCTAAATTGGTGAGGCTGGCCTTGAACTTGCAATCCTACTGCCTCAACATCCCAAATCACTGGGATGACAGCCATGTTAACACCACGCCCAGCTCTTTTTWAAAAATGGAAATTCAAAGATACCCTGTATTTTTACTGCAAATAAAGCACTCTACATTCTATACTTTTTCACTTAACTAATTTTGTAATTTCAGTGTAAATATAGAGAAAGCTTCCTCCCCATTGTTTTGTACAGCTGCATGTTTTGTTGTATAATCTCCTTCCTGGTAGTAGTTATTGTAAACATTGCCAAACTGTCCTTCATAGGCTGTACTCATGCCAATACCATTTTAATTTCTGAATGTTTCTTTCTTCCTCCCCGCCACTTTTTTTTTAAAATTGGTGTTATTTTTCCTTTTTTGAAGTCCTGGGGCTGGAACCCAGGGATTCAGGCAAGTGCTCTGCCACTGAGCCAAAAAACCAGCCTTGAAACTGTTTAAAGTGCTAGGGCTGAATCCCACCTCCCACACCTTCAGATTTTCAGTGGCCTATTGTTGCTTGTCTGTTTTTCCAAATGAAGTATAAAATCAGCTTAACGCAGTTGAACAAGCCTGTCAATCCTTTCGTTAGTATTACAGGACATTAATAAACTTACTGTGTGGTGCTGGGGACTGAATGCACATGCTAGGCATACACTCTTCCACGGGGCTAAGTCCCTAGGCCTCCACACTACTTTAGGTAAGGCAGTATTTCTATTTTGTTCACATCTTACGTAACTCCCCTTAGTAGCATTTTGAAGTTATTTTCTAATAATTTGAACATTTCTTATATTTTTTAGTGTTTTAATTTTTTGYTATTGTAAAATAGTCATTTTCTTCAATTATATCTCTATTCATTTGGAAATCTTAATTTGGTACCAAATTATTAACTCGTATCACACAAAGTTACACGAAAGACGATTGCGGATAAAGTCTATTAAAAACATCTTAAGGGATGAGATCTAGTCCCCTAAGAGCGCTAGCGCTAGCCTAGCGTGAACAGACCCTGGGTTTCATCACCAGCACCGCAAAAAGTAATAATAATAATTACCAGCCAGAAGTTGTTTTTCTTCATTATGGCACAAAATTTATACATCGTACGAGCATCTCAACTACTGAGTTTTCTTCAAAGAGGATAACTGTACTTTATCTACAACCTCTGACTTCCTATTGCTGAGCTTTTTGCCCACTTCTACCCAAAGTGAAATGATAGTCTAGGAATTTGCCTAGCAGCCCCATTAAAATACCTTAAAGATGAGGGGATTTGGAAATCTGAAGSCAGAACCCCGTCACAACGACAAAAAATTATTTTGAAATATTGTTTTTAAAATATTTAGTAAGCCAGGGTACTTTTCATCGAAAATAAATGTTTTATATAAAAATCGTTTTTAAATTATTCACTAACACCCCCCCCCCAAACCTTCAAGTAAAATAGGTGTTCCAGGAAGATGGCAACGTTATCGTCATCAGCACTTTCGACACGGGAAGTTCGGCTTAGACGTTACACCTCAATGCTGGTCTCCACATGTACTCCTCAGGCGCAATCACACACAATTCCGCACCAATTCCACATTCACTCAACGATTCCAAACAACGGGACAAACTTTGCGGTCAAACTCAGGGTCACACACGCTCGAACCCTCCTCAGAGGGCCCCACCTCCGCTTACGCGTAGGCCAGAAGCTCTTAAACCCACTCCCCAATCCCGCGCCGCGGCCCTAAAGATTGGGAATCCTACCCTTCAACCTCCCCAGCCCGACCGACCCAAAACGCCCAGATCCCACCTCCTACTTACACGCCACGTGGACCAACAGACCGTCCTGACCCGCGGACAAAGACCAAAATGTCCACTCGGTGGCCCGCGCCTGCGCACTCCGAGAGAGAGTGAGCACTCCCAGAAGTCTTCGCGACTCCGCCCGGAGTATGCGCGAACCAGGCCCAGGCTGTGTGATTACCTTGTATTACCGCTTTTCCGGCCTTGGACTACATTTCCCTTAAGGCATTGCTGGTCGATTCTCTATCTTTCTGTCCCCACCCCCCACACAACCTTGACAGCGTCCTCCTGTGAATTTGGGGTTCTTGAGGTGAGTGGTCCTTTGTTGGATTCAGATTAACTCAAACCTGCTGGGATGTCTGGAGTGGAAACTCTCTCCTTAATGCCTCCACAGTGCAGTCTCAAAACGGGCCAAGCCAAGACTCAGAAGTGAGAAGACTCCATCTTGTCCATGGCTGGTCTGGCGCTGAACCACGTTTCCCAGAGTCCACAGCGGCTCAATGTTACGTCTTTCTTGACGTCGTGATGAGATCGTTAGCTCCATAAGGACCCGGACGCGACCAGAGGAGGCAGAAGGTGAGGGGTCTGGTAGTCCGGGGCGGGGACGGGGCGTGTCCGGAGCCTTGGGTCTGTGCGCGAAGGCGGGAGCAGACCGAGAATGCGCGATTCTGATTGTGTCTTTGTGGTTAGGTGACTGGGTGTGGCTGCCTCTGAGTTTGCGGTTGTCATCGCCTGTCTCTAAGGTGTACGTCTGGTTGTTTTTATATATCCATGTGTGATACTGCGTGTTGTGGTGCCGAATCCTTGTAACTGTAGGGGTGATGACCTGTGCGTCCCTGTTGCGTGTATGTGCGTGTCTGCCTTGTTCCTGGATGCTTGTGACTGACCGGTGAGGGTGTCGGACTGTATGACTCTGTGGCCGTATGTGGTAAACTGTATAATTGTCGAATGCCGGTGACTTGGGTGATACTGTTTGTGAATATCCCTGTTGTGTTCCTTAAAGGGGGTGTATGACGGAGATAAATGGTGACTGACAGTGTGTGCACTTGTGTATGAGAGTATGGAGTGCCTTTGCTAGTGTGTGACTGAATGTCTCCAGAGTGAATGTTCAATTATGACTGGGTGATGTAGAATTTTATTGTTTGTGTGTGTCCCCCTGGAGTAGTTGTGCGATCTTGACTGTATAGTGTATTTTGGGGTGATGGTTTGAAGAGCTTATAAGGGAATAACTGTGTCACAGTTGTGAGTAGATTGCCTGGCTCTGTGTGTCTTCTTTGTGTATGATTGTGACTGTATAAAGGTGTGTAGGTGGTTGTCTTAAGAATCARTGTATGCCCGGGCATGGTGGTGCACATGCAATCTCAGCATCTCCGGTGGCTGAGTTAAGAGGATCACGATTTCAAACCCAGCCTCAGCAACAGCGAGACACTAAGCAACTCAGTGAGACCTTGTCTCTAAATAAAATACAGAAATAGGGCTGGGGGTGTGGCTCAGTGGTCCAGTGCCTCTGAATTCAATCCCTGGGACCCCCCAACACACACACACACACACACACACACACACACACAAATGAATGTATGGCTGGTTGTGGCACAGGACTGTAATCCCAATCACTCCAGAGGCTGAGGCAGGAGGATCACAAGTTTAAAGCCAACCTCAGCAATTTAGCGAGACCCTTTTTGCAAATAAAATGATTAAGTCAATCCCTGGTACCAAAAAAAAAAAAAAAGTGAATATGTGATGTATGGTTGGGTTGGTGGGATACACCTGTAATYCCAGTAGCTTAGGAGCCTAATGCAGGAGAATGGCAAATTCAATGGAAGCCTCTGCAACTAAGGGATGCCCTAAGCAATTTAGGGAAAACTTGTCTCAAAAAAGGGGGGAGGTGGGGCTGGAGATACAGCTCAGTGATAAAGCAACTCTGGGTCCAATCACCAGTATTGCAAAACAGAAAAAGAGTAGATATGTGATTATGCTCTGACCCCTTGCAGAACMTGTGAAATTAAAATATTCTGGCCCTGAAACTAGGCACAGTAGCTCTTGCTTGTAATCCAAGACTCCGGATACTGAGACAGAAGAATGGCAAATTCAAGGCAGCCTCAGCAACTAAGCAAGGCCCTAAGCAACTGAGACCCTGTCTCAAAAAAATAAAAAATAAAAAGGTCATAACTCTGTGGTTCAATCCCTACTACCAAAAAAAAAAAAAAATTGTGACCCTGTAGAGGGCTCACTTTTTTTTTTTTTTTTTTTTGGTGCTGGGGATTGAACCCAGGGCCTTGTGCATGTGAGGCAAGCACTCTACCAACTGAGCTATATCCCCAGCCTGGAACTCGCCTTTTACATGACACTGGAATTGGTCTTCTTTGATTTTCTTCCCCAGTGTGGTAGGATGATCCTTCAAAATTGTCCTGGTCACTCTTTTCTAAGCACAATGGAAAAGAGTTAAGATTCCTTTTCTTTTTTTTAATATTTATTTTTTAGGTGTAGATGGACACAACACAATGCCTTTATTTTTATGTGGTGCTGAGAATCGAACCTGGGTCCTGCCCGTGCTAGGCGAGCGCTCTACCGCTGAGCCACAATCCCAGCCCCAAGATTCATTTTCTTAACTCTTTTCCATTGTGCTTAGAAAAGGGGAAAAAATGCTATCAAATATCTAACAGCCAAGATCAAAGTGTATCAGGTTTTATTCTTCTTTTCCTGAAACTCTTGTTTTTCAGGGCATGCCTTTCTTTCCTTTTTCTGAAACTCTTGAACAGGACCACCCTCTCATACCCCCACCACCTAAGTGGCAAATACTGCTTTCCAGTATTTGCCCTAGGAGTAATTTATTTAGTGCCCTGAAGTGAACTTAAAGGTTTCCGGGCTTCCTGCATACCTAATATTTATTTATTTAAAAGTTTGTATTTTGGGGCTGGGGATGTGGCTCAAGTGGTAGCTTGCTCGCCTGGCATGCATGCTGYCCGGGTTCGATCCTCAGCACCACATACAAAACAAAGATGTTGTGTCCGCTGAAAACTAAAAATAAATAAATAAATAAATATTAAAATTCTCTCTCTCATAAAAAAAAATGTTTACTTAAAAAAAAGTTTGTATTTTGAATTAGTTTTAGGCTTAAATACCTACAAAAAGAGAATTCCCATATACTTTTTTTTTTTTTTTTTTGGTGCTGGGGATTGAACCCATGGCTTTGTTCATGCCAGGCAAGCACTCTACCAACTCATCTGTATCCCCAACCCGGAATTCACATGTACTCTTAAGCCAGCTTTTACAAATGTTATCATTTTGTATAATTTCAGGGTCTATCTATCCATGCCTTTTTAATTTTTCTCTACTGAATTATTCTCATCAATATGAAACATGCTATAATTTCTACCATTTTCAAAAGAAACAATCATGTCAAATGCATATTTGACATTTCCACATTTGGTATATAATAACTGTCTCAAGTGCTGAGGTCTAAAACAGAACCCATAATTGGTCCAACCAAACCTATTCTTCCTACATCCTTCTTCATGTTAAAAAGTGAGAACCTCATATTTTGCTTTGCTCAAGCCATAGATCTTGGAATCTTCTTGTCTTCTTTGTTGTTTTTTTTTCTTTTCTACCTAAAAATAAGCAAATCTGGTCATCCCTTTTGAATCCAAACAGTCTCGTCACCTCCTTGACTACCACACTAATTCAGCCCACCCTACCCCTTGCCTGGATTATTGTAGTTTTCTTCTCACTGGTCTCCCTGCTTGCCCCTTGTTTCCTATGGCCCATTTTCCATGAATGACCTTTTTAAATGTGAAAACAAATTATGCCATTCATTGGCTTAAAAAGTTTCAGTGGCTTCCTTTCTTATCAAGAATAAAAACCAAAGTTCTAACAGTTGCCAATAAATCCTATGTGACCAGATGAGCTTCTGGCCCTATTCCTCTTGGATACTTCCGCCTGGCTACTCCTGACCCCTTTCTCTTTATTGATCAAAAAAACTCTACTGTTGGGAGCCACCGCCAAGTCAGGATGGCGCCTGGCATTTTGCCAGAAGGAGTGGTTGAGAAGTAATGCCAGCGAGCCATTAAGATGATGGTGATTGGGCTGGAGATGTGGCTCAAGCGGTAGCATGCTTGCCTGGCGTTCGTGCGGCCCAGGTTCAATCCTCAGCACCACATACAAACAAAAAGATGTTGTGTCCGCCGATAACTAAAAAATAAATATTAAAATTCTCCCTCTCTCTCTCTCTCTCTCTCTCTCTCTCTCTCTTGCTCTCTCTTAAAAAAAAAGATGATGGTGATTAAGTTAAGCTGTGTATAATTATTAAGAAAATGACTGATTGCTGTAACTGGATGATGCTAAATTGAACAAGTTGTGTATATGAGCCTCTGCTGTCCAGCAATAAGGCGGCTCCTGCTACCTTGGGTGCCCGCTACTTTTGAGTTCTCGCGGAGTTCCCGTTGGTTCTCACGGAGTTTCGGTAGAGTTCTGGAAAGTTCCTGTGGGGTTCGGGCAATAAAGTAGTTCCTGTTTGAACCTACAAGTGGCTCGTGACCTCCCGGTTATTTTGTGCCCAGCCAGACTGCAGCACTCTACTTCTGCCTTGAGGATTTTGAAAATGTTGTTTTCCTGGGAATGCATATCCCATACCCCATTAATCTGCATTCCTTGCTCACTTCATGTGAACTGTATATGTACATGTCACTTTCTCAGTAAAAAGCCTCAGACTACCCTCCATTCTTCCAAAACTCCCTATCCCCTTGTTCTTTGTTTTTCTCCAGAGAAATTTTGCCACCTGGCATCCAGATAGGAATATCAGTGTCAATATTTGTTGATTTTCTCTTTTTGAAGTATTTTTTTAGTTGTCAATAGACCTTTATTGTTTTTTGTTTTTTTGGATTTTTTTTGTTTGTTTGTTTTTTTACTTACTGATATGTAGTGCTAAGAATCAAACCCAGTGCCTCACACATGCTAGGCAAGYGCTCTGCCACTGAGCCACAACCCTAGCCCTATTTGATGATTTTCTTTCCTCATTAGATTGCAAGATTCTCTGGGACAAGGACTTGATTTATTATCTTTCTCATTCCTAAAACCATGCCAGTTGAGATAGGAGCTCAATAAAAAAGAAAAAATGGTTGACTTGCCTTTCTTTGCCTCTCTATCAAATCAGGCCTCAAAGCCTGTTGATTTGCCAAGCACATGCCTATAATCCCAGCGGCTCAGGAGGCTGAAGCAGGAGGATTGCAAGTTCAAAGCCAGCCTCAGCAATTTAGCAAGACCCTAAGCAACTCGGCGAGACTCTGTCTCCAAATAAAATACAAAAATGGGCTGGGGCTGGGGCTCAGTGGTTAAGCACCACCAGGTTCAATCCCTGGCATACACACAAAAAAATAAAAAGAAAGAAAAAGAAAAAAGCCTGTTGATTTTACATCTTTTTTACACCTTGAATCCCTCCTTCTCCTTCCACTTCTTGTTTCTATTGCCATTGTCCTGGGTCAGACCCTCTTTGCTTGAAAAAGTATAAGCACCTCCGAGTTGTTCTTTTGATTCACAATTATATTTCTTTCCAATGAAATAATGTGGCCATATTGATCCCTTTTTAGATTCTTCAGTTGCCTTCCATTTCATTAGTGAGTGTAAACCTAACTTTTACATAAGCAAACCATATTGGTCATTTATGTCCCCTGAACACTGTAGAAACTGCTAGTTGCAGTGATGAAACTCATTAGTCCTTGCCCTGATAGCTATTTCATTCATGTACCCTTGTTTGTCCTCAGTATCATCTCCAGGATTATCTACCCCTAGATTCTACAGCTAATTAATTTTAAATAAAAAGTTGAGTTACTCAGTCATACTGGCATCATTTCAAATACTTGGTAACACTGTGGTTTGTGGCTACTATATTTACAGATATGAAAATTTCAGATATAAAAATTTCCACCATCACAGGAAGTTATGTTGGAGAGTACTGGCCTTTCCCCAAACTCTACAAGTCATTCTGCATTATTTTTTTGCTCTACAAATACACCTTGTACTTTTGGTCCACTGTTTTTACCGCTTTACCTTACTAGGAACACAATGTTTTCTGTCCATTTTCTGTTAAACTTCTGACTTTTTTTAGACCCTGATTCATATYCTAGAATTTTATAAGAAATTTCCTTGGGCTGGGGTTGTGGCTCAATTGCAGAATGTCTGCCACACACATGTGAGGCACTGGGTTTAATCCTCAGCACCACAAGAAAATAAATAAACAAAATAATGATATTGTGTCCACATATAACTAAAAAAATTTTTTTAAATAGAAAAAGAAATTTTCCTTGATGCCCCCTCCAACATACACACATTGATTAATCACCTTATAAGCAGCCCCAACCATGGGAAGTTTCTTGTACCCCTAAATCAGCCTTAATACCTTCGTTAAAATACAAACTCTCATTACCTTACCATTCACGGGGCTCCAGACTCAGCCACCGCCCGTCCTCACAGTCAGTGAGGAAGTATGTTCCATAGGAAAGCAGTAGAGAAGGGTTAGGGGAAATGAGTGCTAGGACAGAAGCTTCTAAAACTAGTTTCCACTGACTTCAGTACTTTGCATGTGTAGATAGTATGTAAGATCCCTGTATTGCTGCAGTTTTCTTGCTCCTTATCTGGTGGATCCAGCTGGGGATGGAAACTTTGACAAAGCCTGTGATGAGTGATGTAGCCCTATTTTTACTTGGAAGGAGGAAGTAGAGTCATTAAGGCACCAAGAGGTTTTGCCTGTTGAGCCTAGAGAAGCTAGGAAGACCTTATTTAGGAATGTCTTGCACTCAAGGTTTATCTTACACTGATGTTTTATGCTCCTAGTCTAACGGTGCTGTCCTCATCCCTTAGAGGGTAAAATGGGTGAGTCTGAGTTATGATCTTCATAACTTCTTGTTATGAAGATTCGGAGCAGGTGAAAACATTAGGTCCCATTCATAGCTTAGATTGGCATCAACTAGATGGGGACTATCTCAGCCACAATCTCTCTTATGGATGTGCTCAGGTTCCATGGAGCACATCCATAAGAGAGATGGAGCAGAGATTTGATATTCTTCTCTGGTGGGAGCACAGAGCAGGTACGGTGGAAGTAAAATTGTTTTTCGTTTTTGTTTTTTTTTTTAAAGTTGTTTATGGACCTTTATTTTATTCATTTATTTATATGTGGTGCTGAGAAGCGAACCTAGTGCTTCACACATGAGAGGCAAGCTCTGTTTATCAGAGATTTACTCCTTCTCTTCCTGTTGTGCTTTTTCAAGATTCTGCAATTGTCCAGGAGAAGAGTCCAGATAAACCAAAGGTCAAACAGTTCTAAAAGCCATGGCCCAGGTAAGTTGAAATTTGTTCTATCCTTGGGGTAATTTCTTCCCTCCAGATCACATGAACATTTGTGTTCTTTTTCCTGAAACATCTCTGTAACTTGCTCACAGTTCCTCCATCCCAGGGATGAGTGTAAGCACAAAGTGAGGGATGCAGACCTCAACAGATTCAGCGAAGCCATTTATTCATTTGAGCACTCAATCACTCAGGCACCGTAAGGGCTCATTTTGGGGACACGAAAATGGCCGTTGGTTATAGTGGGGGTTTTAGTTTTATAGGGTACAATGAGGGTGATTCAATCATTGGAAACTGCAGGCGTGCTGATCAGACAGTCAGGGAATTAGTTGTGCAGGTTAAAATTTTAACTCAAGAAGGCAGTTGTAAAAAGTTTGAAACTTGTTACTGGGAAATGATAAGACCTCAGATCTCAAGGAGTGAATACTCAGATCCACCCATTGCTTTTTTTCTTCCTCTGAGATTCACTGTTTCCTAGAGTTTTGCTATTTACCATGCCTACGTTAAGAATTAATTGGCAAGGACCTGGGGATATAGCTTAGTTGGTAGAGTGCTTGCCTCACATGCACAAGGCCCTGCAATTCCTGGCACCACACAAAAAAAAATGGCAATGGGGGGGCAGTCAGGGTCCAGAGCCCAGTGTTCTCTATCCACTTTTCCTTCAGGGCCTGTTGTTTTGGGGAAAGGATTTACTAGGAGAGTTTTGATGCTTGGCTAATTTCCCTCCCTCCTRTCTTGTAGGAATATTATTTTTCATAACCCTTCAACAAGCAATGGTGCTCTGTTTCCCTTAGTGGCCCTYTCTTATCCAGCATCATTCACATATGTGAGCACCAGTGGAGCAGAAATGTCTTCTCTTGAGAGAAAGATGAGAGCCTCCTTTATGATACCATCATCCAGTAGGGCCAAAGATAATGAGTTTGATCTTTTCCATTGATGTAGGTGGCTTCCTTTCCTTCTTATATTTTAAATGTCACTTCATCTCAAAAAAAAAAAATCATAAACTTCAGGGTGCACAGTGGTACACTTCTGTAATCTCAAGGACCCAGGAGGCTGAGGCAAGGAGGATTACAAGTTCAAAGCCAGCCTTAGCTAAAAGTGAGGTGCTAAGCAACTCAGCAAGATCTTGTCTCTAAATAAAATACAAAAAATTAGGGCTGGGGATGTGGCTCAGTGGGCAGATGCTCCTGAGTTTAATCCCTGGTAAACACCCCCCCTGCAAATAAATTATAAATACTTCATACTCTCAAAGAATATATTCAGCTGGGCACAGTGGTACACACCTAGTGGCTTGGGAGGCTGAGGCAGGAGGATTGCAAGTTCAAAGCCAGCCTCAGCAACTTAGAGAGGCCTTATGCAACTTAGAGAGATGCTATCTCAAAATAAAACTAGCTGAGCAGTGATGGTTACCTACCATGGTTGAGGTCCTGGTTCCATTCCTAGTGGTGGGTGGGAGTGGGGGTCCAACTATCTTTTATTCAGCCCGTCATTAAAGAGAATTACAAAAAAAAATAGCAAATACTAGGGAGGATGTAGAGAAAAAGGAACCTTACACACTGTTGACAGGAATGTAAATTAGTACAGCCACTTTGAAAAACAATATGGAAGTTCCTCAAAAAACTATGAACAAAACTACTGTGTGATCCAGCTATACCATGCGTGGATAGATGCCCCAAGGGAATTAAGTCAGCATATAAAAGAGATACCTGCATACCCATGTTTATTGWGGCACTATTCATAATGGCCAAGATATGGGATTTGCCTAAATGCCCATCAACAGGTAACTGAAATCTATTGTATATATACACAATGGAGTATTATTTAGTCATAAAGAAAAATGAACCATGTTATATGCAGGAAAAGGGATGGAACTGGGAGAAATCATGTTAAGCAGAATAAGCCAAACACAGAAAGACAKTATTGCATGTTTTCTCTCTTATGTGGAAACTCAAAAAAAGAAAAAAATTACCTGAAAGTAGAAGAGGGACTCTCAATGAAGGGGATGGAAACCAGACAGGAGAGAGGGAAGGTCAAGAAAGGGCAATAGGAAAGCAGATATATTGTAAAGTAAATATAATTTCCTTAAGTAATTTCACTTAGTAAAGTGTTTCTTTTAGACCTTTTCTAAATACAGGTAAGAGCACCTTTGAGATAAATCCAATATTTTTCTCTTTCCTCTGGAAATTTTACATAAAAATTTCTGACATGTTGATAAATTCTAAATTGTAAAATAATAAAAACTATATTTTTATACCAAAATATAGGGATAATAGGGAGGGTAGATATGATCAAAGTATAATATATTCATATATGGAAATCTGTCAATTTGTACAATTAATATGTATTAATAATTATAATTAAAATAAGTAATTTTATTAAGTTACATAACTGTAAAACAGCCAGGTGTGGTGGTGCACACCTGTAATCCCACTGATTTGAGAGGCTGAGGCAGGAGGATCATGAGTTCAAAGCCAGCCTCAGCAAAAAGTGAGACACCAAGCAACTCAGTGAGACCCTGTCTCTAAATAAAATATAAAATAGGGCTGGGAATGAGGCTCAGTGGTTGAATACCCCGAGTTCAATCCCTAGTACAAAAGAAAAAAAAATTATAAAACAGTGCCACTAAATTTTTGGATTTTGACAATTTTAGAGTTTTTTTTCATAAAGTGTATATTATTTTTGTTAACATGGAGCAGGTTTATTCTTTATTGTTTAAATAATAAATACATTTTAGCATTTTTTCTTTTCTTTTTTTAATTTTTTTTTTTTTTTTTTTGCAGTGCTGGGGATTAAACCCAGAATCTTATACATGCAAAACAAGTACTCTACCCCTGAGCACACCTCAGCCCTCTCACTTTTAATTTCTAATGTAATATTTATTGATAACAAAAGTTCTTTGAGGATTCTCAATAACTTTTTATTAACAGCTTTATTTTTATTTTATTTACTTATGTATTTTTTTTATTTATTTTCTTGTACCAGGGATTGAACCCAGAGTACTTAAGCCACATCCCCAACCCTTATTATTTTTTATTTAGAAATAGGATCTCACTAAGTTGTTTAGGACCTCCCTAAATTGCTGAGGCTGGCTTTGAACTTGCAGTCCTCCTGCCTCAGATTCTAGAGCCTCTGGGATCATAGTTGTGTGTCACTGTGCCTGGCCTAAAATTTAGGTATTAAAGTATTTTTGTGTTAAGTATTATAATGTTTTATATGTGAGATTTACCTCAAACCAGGGATAAAAGATGGAAGGAAGGTAGAATGCTTGCCTAGCATGTGTTAGGTCCTGGGTTTGATTCCCAGCACTGCAAACAATAAAAAGGAAGGGAGGGAGGGAGGGAGGGAGGGAGGGAGGAATCAAGGGAAGGAACAAGGGAGGGAGGAAGACAAAATACTCTAGAGCACCTCTGGGCACAAAAAAAATTTTTTTATCAAAGCAATGTATTTTGAAGTTTTTCTTCTAAAAAGTGGGGAAAGTCCTTTAATTTACTAGTAAGGCATGGGTTTATTGTTTCAGGGATTGGTGACATTCAGGGATGTGATCATAGAGTTCTCTCAGGAAGAATGGAAGTGCCTGGAACCTGCCCAGAGAGACTTGTACAGGGATGTGACTTTGGAGAACTTCAGTCATTTGGTCTCACTAGGTAAGGCTAACGTATCACACAGGGACAGACAGGAAACGAGGAACCCAGGAACTACAGCAGCGGGAATTGGCTGTTTCCACCTCTGGCCCAAAGAAGTAAAGAGAGCAAACTGTGCCACTGGAGACGATGAGAACTAGAACCACAGAGAAGGGCCCAGCCAGCAGCAACTGTAGCCTCCTCCAGAACTCCCAGGTCAAAGGAAAGAGGGAGAGAGCTAAGAAATATCCTGTACTCAGCCTTCTGCCTGCTGACCTGCTGATGCTTTTCATCTGTCAAGCCCATGGGAAATCACAGGGTAGGGAAGATACAGACCTTATAAGTAGGCTGTGTGGGGCACAGGGCCTGGCACAGAGAAGGACTAGTATCAAGGAATGGATGGGTAGGGAAGGAGAGGGTTAGTGGAGTACAATAACCATAGATATCTAACCCAAATAATTCAGGACTAGCCTTCTGGAATTCCTAGTCTCCTTCATTGTAGATTTCTAGGGCAACTTACAAGTTTCTGACTGAATTTATGTCCCATTATCCCATTATCCCACATTTTGTGGAATTAAAAATGAGTCACTATCCTGACAACCTTCACACCTTCCTCCTTACAATTTCCTCAGTTCCATAGCAACAGATGCACTGGTTTTCAATTTTGGACCAGTATCATCATGGCCTATTTCTTTTTCTATAAACAGGTCTTTCCATTTCTAAACCTGATGTCATCTCCTTATTGGAGCAAGGGAAAGAGCCATGGATACTTGCAAATGATATGACAGGACCATGGTACCCAGGTGAGTAAGGGCTGATCTAGTGGCAAAGACCATGGGGATTACAGCCCAGTGGGTGAGACAACTGGTAACTGTAACTTGAGTCATTGTTGGAAAGTGCTCAAAGCCCTGCTGCAGAATAAAGGCCTGGGATACTAAGATGTGAAGAGCAAAGACATTGTCGGCCTCAGCTGTTCTTTCTTCTCTCATTTGTCCCATTTCAAAAAGGAATTTGCCCTTTTCTTTCCTCGTGACTGCCTTTTAACCTGAACTTTAGATCCTTTTTTCTGCAAATGTCTTTATGCCTTAGAAAAACTTGTTTTCTTAAAATTGCTTCTCGTTGCAGGACATAGTGGCACGTGCCTATAATCCCAGCAATCAGGGAGGCTGAGGAAAAAGGATTTCAAATTTGAGGAAAGTCTGGGCAACATAATGAACCCCACCATCTCAAGAAACAATAAAAAAACACAAAACAATAAAATAGAGCTGCCTTATCTATTTAAAATGTCCATGCCAGGCATGGTGGCACATGCCTGTAATCCCAGCAGCTTGGGAGGCTGAGGCAGGAGGACTGTGAATTTAAAGCCAACCTCAGCAACTTAGAGAGGCTCTTAGCAACTGATACTCTGTCTCTAAATAAAATATTAAAAAGGGCCGAGGTTGTGGCTCAGTGGTTAAATACCCCTCGGTTCAATCCTCAGTAGCTAAATAAATAAATAAATAGGGGCCTGGGATATAGCTCAGTTGGTAGAGTGCTTGCCTTGCATGCACAGGCCCTGGGTTCAATCCCCAGCACCACAAAAATAAATAAATAAATAATAAAATAAAATGTCCATGATAAGCAAATTCACAGAGTGATTTCCCAGGGCTGAAGAAAATAGAGAATGAGGAGTGACTGCTTAATGGGGCATGGGTTTTCTAATTGAGGTGATGGAAATGTTCTCAGACTCGATAGTGGAATATGCTACAAACCACTGTTGTGCATTTCAAGAACATTTAAATGGGGGCCGGAGAAATAGCTCAGTGGTAGAGTGCTTGCCTTGCATGCATAAGACCCTGAGTTCAATTCCCAGCACTGGAAAAAAATGTTCTGTTTTTGTTTTTTAAATATTTATTTTTAGTTGTAGTTGGACATAATACCTTTATTTCACTTATTTATTTTTATGTGGTGCTAAGGATCGAACCCAGGGTCTCACATGTGCTAAGCGAGTACTCTACCACTGAGCTACAACCTCAGCCCTGGAAAAAAATGTTTTAATGGGAAAATTTATGTTATGTGAATTTTACTTCAGTTAAAAATATAGATGCCAGCTACGGTGATGCAAACCTGTAATCCCAGCAAATGAAGAGGCTGGTGCAGGAGAATCACAAGTTCTAGGCCAGCCTCAGCAGTTTTTAAAAAGTACTTTTAAAAAATGGATGTGGCTCAGTGGTAAAGCATCCTGGGTTCAATTCCCAGTACCAATAAATAAGTAAATAGATAAATACACACATACACATGCACACACCTTGGCCCTAGTCTGCAGATTTTAATTCAGTCTGGGGTGATGCTTGAACATTTGTATTGTTAAAGGGCTTCCTGAATGAGTCTGATCTATATCAAAGTTGAGAACCCTGGCTTAATATTTTCTTGTCCCTTCTGGTACCATATGAGCTCTTTTAATGTTTGTGCTTTCCTGTGCTTTTTAGAAATTGCTTAATAARGGTTAGAGATATGGCTCAATGGTAGATCGCTTGCCCAGTATGTGCAGGGCCCCAAGTTCAATCTTCAGCACTGAAAAAAAGGAAATAAATTGCTTAATAATTGAGAGACTTTTATAAAAACATATACTTTTTACAGTTATTATTTTCATTTTGTCTTCCTATTTTACTATAGAATTTTATTTCTTATAGAAGAGAATAGTTTACATTTATTTTTCTCTTGTTTTTCAGACTTGAAGTCCAGGTATGAGGCATTTCCACAAAATGATATTTTTGAAATAAAGTCATTCAACTGGGAGGTAATGGAAAGCCTTAAATATTGCGATCTTCAGGGCTCTAGTTTTAATGAAGACTGGGAATGCAAAGGGCAGTTTGTGAGACAAGTAAATCAGGAGTGTTATTTCAAGCAAGTAGAAATCACCTTTGAAAACATCCCCACTTTGGAGCATCACACATCTCTCACTCTACCTCAGCACAGTAGGACCAGTAAGAAACTGATTGAATGCAATGAATGTGGGAAGGCATTTGGCCGAGGCTCACACCTTATTCAACATCAGAAAACTCATACTGGTGAAAAACCCTTTGAATGTAAGGAATGTGGGAAGGCATTTAGTCGTGCTTCACACCTTGTTCAGCATCAGAGAATTCATACAGGTGAGAAACCTTATGACTGCAAGGAATGTGGGAAAGCCTTTGGTCGTACTTCAGAACTTATTCTACATCAGAGACTTCATACTGGTGTGAAACCCTATGAATGTAATGAGTGTGGAAAAACCTTTAGGCAACATTCACAACTTATTCTGCATCAAAGAACTCATACAGGTGAGAAACCCTATGTATGTAAAGACTGCGGGAAGGCTTTTATTCGAGGCTCACAACTAACTGTTCATCGGAGAATCCATACAGGTGCTAGACCCTATCAGTGTAAAGAATGTGGGAAGGCATTTAGACAGCATTCACAACTGACCGTACATCAGCGAATCCATACTGGGGAGAAACCCTATGAGTGTAAGGAATGTGGAAAGGGCTTTATCCATAGCTCAGAAGTTACTCGACATCAGAGAATCCATTCTGGGGAGAAACCCTATGAATGTAAGGAATGTGGGAAGGCCTTTAGACAGCACGCTCAGCTTACTCGGCATCAGAGAGTTCATACTGGTGACAGACCCTATGAATGTAAGGACTGCGGGAAGGCTTTTAGTCGTAGTTCATACCTTATTCAACATCAAAGAATTCATACAGGTGACAAGCCCTATGAATGTAAGGAATGTGGGAAGGCCTTTAGACAGCACGCTCAGCTTACTCGGCATCAGAGAGTTCATACTGGTGACAGACCCTATGAATGTAAGGACTGCGGGAAGGCTTTTAGTCGTAGTTCATACCTTATTCAACATCAAAGAATTCATACAGGTGACAAGCCCTATGAATGTAAGGAATGTGGGAAAGCTTTTATCCGTGTTTCACAGCTGACTCACCATCAGCGAATTCACACTTGTGAAAAACCCTATGAATGCAGGGAATGTGGAATGGCCTTCATTCGTAGTTCACAACTTACTGAACACCAGAGAATTCATCCTGGCATCAAGCCTTATGAATGCAGAGAATGTGGGCAGGCCTTTGTCCTTGGCTCACAGCTCATTGAACATTACCGAATTCATACTGGTTAGAGTGTTAAGGATATAGAAAAGATTTTGTGTGGAGTTCACACCTGGCTTAATATTAGATCATTTTTAATGTAATTAAAGTCAGAAAACTTTGATTTGTCACTTTCATTATGGAACATTAGAGAACTCATATCAGAAGAAAATTCAATAAATGTGGAAATTCTTTTTGCCTCACTCACTGTTTATTAAGCATCAGAGAACCTATGCTTAAAAAAGAAAAGAAAAAGTTAATATGAATGTAGAAAGGCCTTCTGTTACTACACAAAAATCTGTTAAACTTCTGAGATTTCCAAATAGAAACTGATCAAATTAGAATATTTTGTAGCTGGGCACWGTGGAGCAAGCCTATAGTCTCAGCTACTCATAGGATAAAGCAGAAGGATCTCTTGAATCCAAAGGTTGGAAACCAACCTGGGCAACATAGCAAGACCACACCTCCAAAAATATATATATATATTTTTTGTGAATGTGCCTTTTGTCTTTTGTCATAGTATAGACCTTACTTGACATTGTTGTTATTCCACTGATTACTAACATTGTAGGATTGGATAAATTGTGCGATCTCTTTCCTTTATTTGTTAAAAAAAATTAAATGGTGATGATTATACGTATCTAATAGAGCTTTCATGGGGACTAAATCAGATATTTTACATAAGGCCTTGTAAAGAATATCTTGTACATTTATGTGTTCAATAAATATTAGCTATTGTCATTAATTTTTATTATCAGCCAGGCACCAGTGGCACATGCCTATAATCCCAGAGATGGAGGAGACTGAGAGAGGAGGATCACAAGTTCGTGACCAGCCTCAGCAACTTAGCATGTGAGGCCCTAAACAACTTAGTGAGACCCTGTCTCAAAAAACAAAAAGGGTGGGCTGGGGGTGTGGCTCAAGCRGTAGCTCGCTAGCCTGGCATGCGTGCTGCCCGGGTTTGATCCTCAGCACCACATACAAACAAAGATGTTGTGTCCGCCAAATACTAAAAAATAAAAATAAATATTTTAAAAAAAGGGTGGGCTGGGTTTATGGCTCAGTGATAAGAGTGCTGCCTAGCATGTGTGAGGCACTGGGTTCGATTCTCAGCACTGCATATAATAAATAAAGGTCCATTGACAATTTAAAAAAATTTTTTAATAAAGTAAAATAAAAAGGGTGGCACATGTCTATAATCCCAGCAGCTCAGGAGGCTGAGGCATGAGGAACGTGAGTTCAAAGCCAGCCTCAGCAATAGCGAGGCACTAAGTAATTCAGTAAGACCCTGTCTCTAAGTGAAATACAAATGGGCTTGGGATGTGGCTCAGTGGTTGAGTGCCCCTGAGTTCAATCCCCATATCAAAAAAAAAAAAATTATCAGTATTATTATTGAATACACTAGAGGAGGGCTTATAAATTTATCAAAAGCATTTATAATCACTTGTTTAGATAATAAATTCTGCAAAATTGTCATAATTGTCATAAGAAGGCCTTCATTCAAAAGATTAGAAAGTCAGAATAGCCAGGCAGGGTAGCTCACCTTTGTAAATCAAAGGACTCCAAAGGCTGAGGCAGGAGGATGCAAATTCAAAGCCAGCCTGGGCAATTGAGCAAGGCCTTGTCTCAAAAAGGGCTGCAGGTGTAGCTAAGTGGTAGAGTACTTACCTGGCATGTGCCATGCTCTGGGTTCAATCCTAGTACTGCAAAATAAATTAATTAATTTTTAAAAAATGGAAAAAAAGGATTTCATATAAAGGTTGTTTAATAATGTAATAAGAGATTATTTACAAGTGTGATATAGGAAAAATAATGACTAGGCAGGGGATGAAGTCTTTTAAAATACTAAAAATACTAAGTATGGGGGCCCAGGGTTGTGGCTCAGTGGTAGAGCACTTGCCTAACRTGCATGAGGCACTGGATTTGAGCCCCAGCACCACATAAAAATAAATAAATAAAAATACTAAGTGTGAATATTTTAATTATTTGATAATATATTTGAATATAATCTCTCAAGAGATTGTATTTTTACAATATAAGTTGGTTCAAGAAGATGTGGAATGCCTGAATAATAAGTAATTCTAGTACTGATGGGGGCAGACAGATCGGAGGTTAAGGGAATAATTCTATAAAAATGGGCCCACTGTGCCGACCCCCACATGTACATGCTCTTTTCCAAGAAGCAATTTACTTGTAGCCCTGCCTGGCTTAAAGGGACAGGATGTGTCACATTCCTCAGCAAACTACCTGTTACCTGCAGGAGAAATTCAGGCCTGAAATAATGTCAAGAGGAACCCAAGTTACCCTGAATTGAGGAGACTTTTGTGACTCTTTTCACAGACTATATCTGGAAACTCAGGGAGATAAGGATAATTCCTCCTAACCATAAAATCTGTTAAGAATTACAGTTAAGTATCCAATTAGAACCAGTCAGCATGGGCCAAGGTAATTGTCATGGCAGTCGGGACTTGAAAGTCTGATGTCATCCTGCTGTCAGAAGTCTAGAGGTGGACCTGGGCAGGACTCTRGAAACAGCTCTGAGATCCCCAATAAAACTGGACTACAGGTGAGGCACAGTGTCCCTCTCCTCTCTGAGAGGACCCACTCTCTCTCTSTCTTGTGAATGTCCCCTCATCCTTTTCCTATCCTTTCAATAAACTCATGCCTGTTACTGATCCGGAAACCCAGGGAGATAAGGATAATTCCTCCTAACCATAAAATCTGTTAAGAATTACAGTTAAGTATCCAATTAGAACCAGTCAGCATGGGCCAAGGTGACCTAGAGTTGTGGTGGCAGTGAGGAAAAAGTCTGTTCACAGTAACACATGTTCAAGGATAGTCCCAGCAGCTTAGCAAAATCCTCAGTAATTCAGTGAAACYCTGTSTCAAAATAAAATATAGAAAAAGACTGGGGGATGTAGCTTAGTGGTAAAGTGTCCCTGGGTTCATTCCCTAAACCAAAAGAATTCTTCAAGGAACAGATAATCCCTAAGGAAAACCTCCCAATTCATTTTCAAAGCTAAATAAAGTTCCAACTAAGCGGGTGAGGATAATGGAATATCCTACATGTTAGTAATTCCATTTTAATTCTAGAACTACATCTTAACCCCAAATCAAAACTTATAAACTGCCAAGAAAAAGAAACTGAAGATACCCTGTTCCCATAATACCCCCTCCTCCAAGGTCCCTAAATATAAAATTCTGTTATCACCCAGCCACCTGCAATTTTAGGTCAATTCAAGGTCAATTCTAGATTGCTGCACTCAAGGCCATTTCCAGCTTGCTCTTGTTCCTTGTTTAAAAAAAAAAAGCTACAAAAACCCTATTCAATAACTCTGGCTGCTGCACCACTGTACTGGGCAGCTTGGCAGGCTTCTCCTGTCAATAAACTTTGCTTTCTGAAAGACTCTATCTTGAGAGATTTCTTAGAGCGTTCTATTCTAATGGGGGACAACTTCATATACTACAGTTCCCAAAAAGCAATTATAGATCACTGTCATTTGTGAAAATAAATAAAATTTCTGTTTATCTAATCCCATACTCTATTAAAAATAAGGAGCTAGAGCCTGGCATGGTGGTGCATCCTATAATCCCAGTGGCTCGGGAGGCTGAGGCAAGAGGATCATGAGTAAAAGCCACCCTCAGCAATTTAGCAAGGTCCTAAGCAACTCAGCGAGAGTCTGTCTCTAAATAAAATACATAAAAGGGCTGGGATGTGGCTGAGTTCAATCCCCAGTACTGAGGGAAAAAAAAAAATCTTAAATGGAATGTCAGGAACTTCACCTGTTCTGTGTTAATTATGTTTTCAGAATTTTGACATTACAACCACAAGAAACACAATGCCTTTATTTTATTTTTTTATGTGGTGCTGAGAATAGAACCAGGGTCCCGCCTGTGCTAGGCGAGTGCTCTACCGCTGAGCCACAATCCTAGCCCTTAGTGATCGTTTGATAAATGGTAACTGAGTGGGAAAGGGGTATTGATAAATGGTAACTGAGTTACTTTATCAAAAGATCACTAAGAGTAAATTCTTGTATATATGTCCAGATTTTAAAATTTCATAAACAGACATACACATAACATGCTCTATAAAAGTTTTTTACACCTTGGTAGCAAATTTCTATACATGATTACATTTACTAAAATATTAGTTTTGCTTGGATTTTTTTTGTTTTGATTTGGTTTAGTATTGAAGATTGAGCCCAGGGGGGTGCTTTACCACTGAGCTACAACCCCAGCCTTTTTCGTTTTTTATTTTGAGACAGGGTCTCACTAAATTGCTGAGGCTGGACTAGAACTCACTAACATCCTCCTGCTTTAGCCTCCCAAATAGCTGGGATATAACCTATAGGTATGTGCCACCATATCAATACATACATGGCTATTGCTTCATTCTCTCTCTCTCTCTCTCTCTCTCTCTCTCTCTCTCTCTCTCTCTCAAGGCGGGGTCAGATGCAGTGCTGGGGATGGAACCCAGGGCCTTGCATATGCCAAGTGCACACTGTAACACCGAGCTACATCCCATGCCCCACTTCATTCCTTTATATCAACTGCTTATTATTCCTCTATATGTGTTTTATAATTTAATATTTTTATGTGTGATTCTCTTCTAAACAATCTTTTTTAATATTTATTTTTTAGTTGTAGTTGGACACAATACCTTTATTTCACTTATTTATTTTTTATGTGGTGCTGAGGATCAAACCCAGGGTCCCGCACATTCGAGGCGAGTGCTCTACCACTGAGCCACAACCCCAGCCCCCTAACAATCTTATAGCAAACATTTTCCTTGCACATAAAGAATTCGTACTAGTGGTATATCTTTAAGATAAATTTCTAAGACCTGCTATCTGCCACAAAATGTTCTAAATTCACCTTGCTGACTTCCTGCTTCCCATTGACGTAACCATTTTCTAAGGAATCCTCTTTCCTTTGGTACTTTACCAAATGGTATTTGAAAAAAAACATGTTGGAAGGGATGCTTTATGCCCCTGGTTGGCCTTTTTTTTTTTTTTTTTTTTTTTTGCTTGGTTTTGAATACATATATAAAATTTGCCTGGAGATTACATAAGAAACAGCATAGGTTTCTTGGTTCTCTGGAAAGAAACTCAAAGGTTCATGTGAGAAAGAAGTCTCTTTTTTTCTTTTATGAATTTTCAACCATGTGAATGTGTGATCCATTCATCAACTGAATGACTAAAAATTTACCAAATACACTGGTGCATGCCTGTAATCCCAGAGACTTGGGAATTCAGGCAGGAGGATCACAAATTCAAGGCCAGCCTCAGCACTTAGACTCTGCCTCAAAATAAAAATAAATAAAATTAAAAGGAATGGGGATGTAACTCAGTGGTAAGGCACTCTGGGTTCAAGCGCCAGTGCCACAAACAGAAAATTTAAAGAATTCAAAAAGCAAGTCTTCAAAAGGATTAGAATTATGGGAAGGTCCAGTGGGCCAGGAAGTTGTTCTACGCATACCACAAGATGGCAGCAGAGGGACACCAAAGCTAGGTTCTGAGCTCTGGAAGGCTGCATGGGGTCAACAGGCAACTWTCTGCTGGCTTCCCTCCATGGTCTTGTGTGACTGTGGCAGATCTAAATCATCCCTAGATTCCTGACCTACAGAAACTGTGAGATAATAAATATTGTTTTGAGCTGCTACATTTGGGGTTAATTTGTTACTGGGTAAAAGATAACTAATGTACATCATAACATTGCATCAAAAAAT